CAGTGTTCAGTAGTCATTCTCTTACCTGAGTTGTATTTGATGCTGGTTTGTGTCGGTTCATGGAGGGTTCAGAGCTCTTTAGTGCTTTTGGTTCAGTTTCATCGGCCATTGTTTCACAAACGTAATTTAAACGTAATTTTATATTTTAAGCTCCGGCACGTGTGGTGCGTAGCGAAGGAGGTTTATGGTGATATTTTATGGAAACGTGACATAAATGCTCATATGTCTCAACATAAAACGCAAAGGCAGAAATAATACATACACTAAATCGCACCATGGAGAAGTTCCCTTTACTACATTGACCGCCATGTTTGTTTAGGACGTCACCATAGTAACAGAGCGAGCCTCCCAGAGGAGCCTCCTAAAAGCTCCGTAACCAAAGCGATTTCTTAAATTATCTTAACAAAAGAGACATTAAAAACGGCAACTAAAACATGTGGACATTTAAACAACAAAATCTATCCTACTTTTTTGTGGTCAAGAATTTTTTTTATTTAGCAAGAATGCATTTAATTGATCAAAAGTTGATCAAAAAAGATCAACAGCTTCGCTGTCACAAAAATAAAATATATATTTTAAATATATTAAAATAAAAACAGTTATTCAAAATGATAATAATATCCCTTAAGAAAATTAACCATGATTTTACTACAAATAAAACAAAAAAAACAGGTTTACTATAATTATACCATGGTAACCATAAACTAACCATGGTTTTGCTACACTAACCATAGTTTACCCATGGTATTTGTAGCAAAACTGTGGTTATACAATTGGTAATCAATACAGCAAAAAAGCATGGTTACTACACCTTTAATACATTTACATTACATTTAGTCATTTAGCAGATGCTTTTATCCAAAGCAACTTACAAATGAGGACAATGGAAGCAATCAAAATCAACAAAAGAGCAATGATGTGCAAGTGCTATGACAAGTCTCAGTTAGCTTAACGCAGTACACGTAGCAAGCTTTTTTTTTATTATATAATAAATAAAAGGAAAACAGATAGAATAGAAAAAGAATAGAGCAAGCTGTTAGAGGCCTTTTTTGTATAATAAATAAAAAGAAAAACAAATAGATAGAATACAAAAACATTAGAGAAGCTAGTTTTTTTAAGAATAGAATTAGAATAGAGAGTGCTAGAGTTAAGTCAAATAAAGATGTGTTTTTAGCCAAATCTTGAAGATGGCTAAGGACTCTCTGCTGGGATTGAGTTGGGCAGGTCATTCCACCAGGAGGGAACATTTAATGTAAAAGTCCGTGAAAGTGATTTTGTGCCTCTTTGGGATGAACAATAAAGCAACGTTCACTTGCAGAACGCAAGCTTCTAGAGGGCACATAATCGGAAGTAATGAATTTAGGTAAAGGGGTGCAGAGCCAGTGGTGGTTTTGTAGGAAAACATTAATGCCTTAATGCAAGCAGCTATTGGTAGCCAGTGCAAATTGATAAACAGAGGTGTGACATGCGTTCTTTTCGGCTCATTAAAAATTAATCTTGTGCCGCCTATTAATACAATAAAACCATGGTTAATTTTCTTAAGGGATTTCACATTATTACTGTATTTACTTTATTTTCTTCAAGTAAATGCAACCTTAGTGAGTGTAGGAGGCTTATTTAACCAATAAGTAAACATGTTACTGATATTATACATATGCAACATGGCCAAAAATTAATGACGTAACGTTACCCAATCCAAAAATAACATGCACACCTCTACATACCTGAAGATCGGGTATGGCTTGACAGCTTTAAAGGGTGTGCTAAAAGTTGCCAGGCAGGATGATTTTCAAAATCCCCATCATCATAAAGCAAAGAGACTCTATGAGCTGTATGCTACTGGACTTTGCTTCACACCCTACTTTGCTCTACGACCAAATTAGATCACTCTTGTTCAGTTATTGTGAAGACAGATTGATTGGAAGTGTTCCGATTTTGTCCCATCATGTCACCAGATGCAACACAGTCAATAAATCACTAATATGTAACATGTAATACTAAACAAATAAATAGCGTTTCATTTATGCAAAGTTCCATATTCAGATAAATCCACCCAGAAGTGGAACATAAAAACAAAACAAGAAAACAAGCTGTATACTTTTTATTATGTTGAAAACAGCTGAATAGAATTTTTCAGGTTTCTTTGATGAATAGAAAGTTTTGTGAATCCAAAACAACTAGATGTGATATGAGTGTGATGCATACATACTACCAGTCAAAAGTTTTTAAACAGTAATATTTTTAATGTTTTTTTTTTGTTTTTTTTAAAGTCGCTTCTCACCAAGCCTGCATTTATTTGATCCAAAATACAGCAAAGGCAGTAATATTGTAAAATGTTTTTACTATTTAAAATAACTGATTTCTATTTAAATATATATTAAAATGTAATTTATTTCTGTGATCAAAGCTGAATTTTCAGCATCATTACTCCTTCAGTGTCACATGATATATTACTGTTCAAAAACTTTTGACTGGTAGTGTATATCATATTTGTGACCCTGGACCACAAAACCAATCAATCAATTTTTTAAAATTGAGATTTATACACCAGTTAGGATAGGACAATATTTGGCCGAGATACAACTATTTGAAAATCTGGAATCTGAGGGTGCAAAAAAATCTAAATACTGAGAAAATCGCCTTTAAAGTTGTCCGAATTAAGTTCTTAGCAATGCATATTGCTAATCAAAAATTAAGTTTTGATATATTTACAGTAGGAAATTTACAAAATATCTTCATGGAGCATGATCTTTACTTAATATCCTAATGATTTTTAGCATAAAAGAAAAATCGATAAATTTGACCACTACAATGTTTGTTTGTTTTTTGGCTATTGCTAAAAATATACCAAAGTGACTTAAGACTGGTTTTGTGGTCCAGGGTCACATATAATAAATGGTGGTGGGCCGCCTGGACCAAAAAATGCCTGGGCCGATTTTTTGTCCCAGTCCAGCCCTGGTTTTATTCATTTTAAGTCTTTGAACAGCACTCTCAAGAGTGGCATTACAGGACAAGAGTGGAATTCTGAAGAAATGAATCAAAACCATCTGTAGCCACGGTGAAGAAATGAATCAAAACCATCTATAGCCACGGACAAGAGCTCCTTCTGGAAATCACCAAGAAAGCAGACACGTCTCTGAATTAGGCTACACTTTACTCGTTTATAATGGGTGGAAACAAATAAAACTTTTCAGGGCATCGTTGAGAGATACTTGAAAGACCGGTGTTGTTGTTGTTTTGGGTGTTGGCGAATTCTCGATACTGCTCTAGTAATAGGCGGGTTCCACACACACACACACACACACACACACACACACACACAACAGCGCATTGGACTTTCCTGTCAGTGGATGGTTTAGGACACGGGCTTTACACATCCCAGTCAGTATCTGGGCGGCTCTGAGTGGCTTTGTGACGCGAAAGGTCTTTTCCCAACTGGAATATACAACAACTGAAAGAAAACGCTAAATAAAACAACAGAAATAATCATGGAAGCCCATGGAAATGCCGGCATATTCGGTAAGTTTTGCAGTGATGTCATGATTATTCCGCGCGAGAAGTGAATGCATTTGATTTGAAGAGTCAACAGGCTATTCATATATGGCTATATGAACACCATAATGTGAACATTTGAATGTTAGCTACAATACCACCGACTTTATACAAAGCAATTTGCTCTGAAACTCAATTTGTAAGATATTTTACCTTGTTTTTTGCTTTCGCGAGGTTCTTTTCACAGTCATGCGGCGTGTAATGACAGTCTTGTTTATTGTTTCACACTCAGAACTGCTATTAAATGTAGAGGTGCCTCATAGAACATTTTCCATCACTTCAGGAGTTTGCTGACTTGTCCTATATCTGAGAACTTTAATACTCAGCTTTAATAGCTTTAATAAAAACAGATGCACGAGTTCACAATAAAACCGTCATTTATGAACATTGCCGTTTACAAACAAACACTTGGAGTTAATGTAGCTTATATATTGTATGGTTATATATAACATATTCTTTTCGTGGACCTTCACTTACACCAACACACATTCAGCATGACGTTAACTAATGTCACGCGAGGATTCAACCAGATGAAGGCGCCCTATGCCAAATTACATTTGAGTTAGTGATTCATCAAAGTGACTCGTATCTTTGAATCGTTTCCCTAAACGATTCATTTAGATGTCGCTTACTGGTTTGTTCAAATCACATCTACCGGTACTTAGATTCCATAGAGAGTTTATGTTTATTACGTCAATGAAGATATAAGAATACAGAAATAGCTAAAAATGGATAACTGTTTATTAACGTTCTCTCTTTGTTAAAGAGTTTAGCTCACAAGCTGAACTGAATTGAAAGACATGCCGCCACTTCAGTTGGATGTGGATATCCAGTTTATTCAGTTTGTCTCATTTAATACCGCTATGAGTCTTGACTTGTTCAGTGAAGGGGGCGGTTCGTTGAGCAGGTCCAGCCAATGAAATGCTCCATCACAACCAGCCTGGAATGCTATTGGTTCGCGTTTTGGTCAGCAAACCTGCGCTTTAAACGGGAGAAACTTCAGCAAACTAAATAGCTAGGAGTCAAACCAGACCGATTCTTCCATTTAAAAGATTTGTTCAAAACCAAAGATTCTTCCATAAGCGAAAAGCCTCAAGACAGAAGCCACGTTTGTAGACATCAGGCAAAATGTAAAGGTTACACGGAAACCTCTATCAGGAGGACACGATGGGTTTGCAGGCCGAGAAACGGAACCAACTGACAAAAATATTACACATGTTGTTATTACAGCATTATATATATATATATATATATATTAAATACCACAGTCAGTGCGTGCCATAACATGCCAGACGTATAGATGCGAAAACCTGAGATACACAGAGCAAGTGAATCAAAAACACAATAGGATTATTTTTGCAGGTTTAGAACCCGCCCATAGAAAGATACTTGCAAACGTCATGGTTTTCTCGCCTCATGTTATTTTTCTAGACAAACTAAGCCGATTACAGGCGATCTCGTTGAGGAATTTTGGCCATGTCTTGTGTGCGTAAGCTTCGCAAAAGGACGAAATCCCAGGAGTTAGTTTACCAAGAGCAGTGCAAGATCGTGGCACAAGAGAATGGGAAACGCATAGGTGGGTGTTGGATTTGTGTCGGGCGTTCGTGCATTAAATAGCCCTCCGTGGACTAAACTGCATGAGAGTTGTTTAGTCCCAGAAAGTAAAGTTTCCACCAAAACTACAGTTATAGTTTTTATCACTATTACTGTAAAGCCATAAAAATGGGGTCTCATTTAAACTGTAAAAAGTAAGAGAAGAGCTCGTTCTCACTGTAAATGTTGTAAACAATGTAAACATTTAAGTGACTGTGCAAGGTTAATAAAATAACATTTACCGCACATAAAGAATTTGAAATAGCATGAAGTTTGGTTTATGGAACGTGCACGCTGATAATTTGATAAATAGCCTACTGTAAATGTGTTAACCAATCTCTGCTACATCTTCTTGCACGAGTCAGATCAAATCAGACTTTTTGTTTGCTGTAAGAAGCTGCACTCTAAATATAAAGGATTAAAATGATTTAAACATTAAGAACATTTACAAAATACCATGATGGAAAAGATGTTTATTTGCATGTCACAAACATCCATGACTGTTTATTTCATAAAAGTGTATGATACACTTTTGTAATATTTGGGATGAGGAATGAGTCAAGGGGATTTTCCATGCTTTTTGATGTTTTGCTGTATGTTAAATAACATTCCAGCCAAATACAGCAGAGAAGATCTGTATTTTGTCTTTTTACTGAAAAAAGGAGAGTAGGATTACACAACTTTTCCAAGGAAATAATGAATGGTTTTGACGGTTGACTTATCACAGTTTCATCTCTGGCTACCTTCCAGTGATGAAAAATCAAGGTTAAAGGCACAATATGTAAGATTTTTTTATTAAAATATCCAAAAACCACTAGAACAGTGTAATATATTTTGCTGACTTGTGTACTTACACTATCCCAAATGTTTTGAAGAATGTTTAAATCCAGAGAAATAAGCAATTTTAACTAGTGACACGGACCGTGTCCATAGTGTCATTGTGTCGCCTGCCAATGACGTCATAACCCCTCGATTTCCGAAACACCAAAGACACTTTAATATGTTATGCATTTTAATAGACCGGTGACGACCGCACAGAGTGGCATTATAACAGAATTTCCAAATGTATCTAGTATGATAAAACAGCGCTGCTTTTTTCCCCCACATACGCACGACCGGAAGGAGCGGAAGCAGTCGACTGTAGCATAATAAAAGCTCCGCTGCTTTCGAGCGGTGTGTCACGCTCGTTCAGCGGCCTCGTTTCGCTTCGATGGCTTTCAGCCTCACCCTGCTTCATTCTACTACGTTAATAAATAATTAGCTCATCCATGAACATGATTTCTGCCCGAGTCCCATCGGATTGCATCGACTGTGGGGATGAAGACGACAACTCCCATGATTCCACACTCAGTCACGGCGTCATCAAACTACGCCTTTACCTCTTTGTTTATTTTGAATACGCGCCCTCTAGCGGCGAAAATTACTTGTGGAGTAAATGACTTCTCATTCACTTTTCTATCTTTCCTGAAGAAAATAGTGGACTCAGGGCTTCTTAGATGGAAATTCCAGTTAAATGGAAAAAGCCTTGAGGAGTATGAGAGTAGCATCAAAACACATGAAGTAGCATTATGATCGTCATTTATTTTCCCACTTCGTTGCAGCATCCTGGAACTGAATGTATTTGAATGCTTCAGTTGCTATGTTTACATACATTTTAATCATCAAAATAAAGTGCTTTCATGCAAATTTTAATTAAATTGAGGTTGATCCAAAAGAAAATGAAAACACGTGGTGCAGATCTTAAGCATTCTGTTGATAATGCCATGTAAATGGTTGAATTCACTGTAAGATTCAAAAATATCCAATGTACATGTTTAATACTATGCAGAGATGTCAAGTTATTGGAAAATTAATTGGCGTAAAATGGGTAAATGATGATGGCTAACATGTTTACAAAAGATAGTATTTGGGGGCACAAAGTGGATGAGAGCTGTAAAGCTTCAAAATGACAAAAAAAAAGCACCATAAAAGCTTCATAATAATGGTTCAACTTGTGCGCTGTACTACAAGTCTTTTGTCTGAGGATCAGACCAAAAAGTTTGTTTTTGCTTGCTTTGAAAATCTTGCTTGACAGCTGTGGTCACCATTCACTTTTATTGTACAGGAAATGGCAGGGTTCACAATATGCTTTAAATAACCTTTTTGTGTTCAATGGACAAATGGAATTTCATTCAGGTTTCAATTCAAGTTAGCAAGATAAGAAAAAGGCTCTTTTGGCATTTTTTTAGTTACACACATGCTGAGTTACATTTAGTCAGCTGTCTTTGACATGACTCACAAACTTCTAGACATACTGATTTTGAAACTAAATAGTGCACTTGTAAAATAAAAATAAAAAAAAATCAGAAATTCATCAGATTGCAGAAATTAAATTATGATACATGTATAACCAGAAAATTCAGAATTTGCTTCCATATTGAGCTGATACAGTTTACCAATAATCTATGCATATTACAGTTTGTGAAAGTCAACTTTGTGTTTTACAAAGGGTCAAAAAGTTGCGCCGTGTATCATCACCTTAACCTTTGTTCATCTTCAGAACACAAATTAAGATATTTTTGATGAAATCCAAGAGATTTCTGACCCTGTATAGACAGCAACGCAACTGACACGTTCAAGGCCTGGAAAGGTAGTAAGGACATCTTTAAAATAATCCATGTGTCATCAGAGAAGAAACTGTTGAAAAAAGACATTATTTTAGTTCGGTTTTTTTTCACACAAAAAGTATTCTCGTAGCTTCATAAAATTATGGTTGAAACACTGATGTCACATGGAATATTTTAACAATGTCCTTACTACCTTTCTGGGCCTTGAATGTGGTAGCTCCTTTGATATCTATGCAGGGTTTGTGTTCCGAAGATGAACGAAGGTCTTAAGGTGATGATAGTAATTATTGACAGAATTTTCATTTTTGGGTGAACGATCCCTTTAAATATTTCACTACAATATACTCAATAATTGTTTTGGACAGCCTTTAAAAATGTTAATTACATTTTTTTACCCTGTTTGCTGCCTTTAAATTGCTACTGAGGTGAATGGGAATGCTTTCGAACAGCTTTGTCCAGGTATTAGTGATCTCTCTCTCTGGCTTTTATTCCAGCAATGGCACAGCTGAAATCCACTATTGCAAATCATACCTGGCCCTGTTTCTATAATTTCTTTAAAGATCACAGCAATTAGAAGTCAGAAGAGTATTTGAACTCAGCGACATCTACATTTGCATTCTGAATACCTCTGGAGTATGATTTGAATGAGATAAAAAGTCTGATGCACATTTTCCTAAATGTTAAATACCTCACCCTTTTCAAAAATGCTAGAACACTAGTATCAGTCATCAGAATAAAACCTTACACACAAGAGCTTTCTGAGTAAACACAAGCAACCATTCCAGCACAGAAAATGTTTTCAGCCTGATTTCAAAGGCCTTTCTGAAATCAGCTCAACTTTTTCACCATTTCTCCGCCTTCTGCTCGAGTGCATCCAGAGCCTCATAAACAGCCTCTGTGGCAACAGCTCGTGAAAAAATGCCTGCAATGTTGTGGTTGTGCCCACACCCTTGGGTCAGAGAAGCTGGAGATATACATAATTCAACTGTTGGGCAAATTAAAGGGGTCATATGATGCGATTTCAAGTTTTACTTTCTCTTTGGAGTGTTACAAGCTGTTTGTGAATAGATAAGATCCCTATAGTTACAAAGACTACAGTCTCAAACCCAAAGAGATATTCTTTATAAAAGTTAAGACTGGTCCCCGCCCTCCTAAAAGGCCTCATTTAAACATGCCCCCACATGTCTACGTCATGATGTGGGAAGATTTGCATAACGCTGCCCAAATGTTCACGCAAAGAAAGAAGGCGTAACTTTATTGTTGCTGCCACCGCCATGTTGTGAAGACGCTGT